AGAGATGAGACTAATGTGCCTTCTATTTCCACAAGTTTTTCATTGATTCACTCAGTACCTACAATATCCTAGTGCTTGCTCTGCGTGTCCTCCTAGAAAAGAATATCAAACTTCCTGGCAAAACTGGGGAAGACTCCAAAACTTGGAGTTCTGAACACATGAATTCAATTCTTAAAGAACTGAATTTCGAAATTTGAGTAAGGGCCAACCAGGTGGAGACAAAGTCACTCCAAAAATATGGAGGAGCTCCTGCAAAGACAGGGTCTGAAAAGAATGCAAGGTTTAAAAATAAAACAAATGGCAGTGGATGCAGCATAGCTTGGATGGAGTAGAGTATGGGCAAATAAGGTCAACGGTTTCCAACTTTATGGGGAACCCACTCTTCAAGGGGCTGCTTGGAAATAAATGGGATCATACTGGATTGTCAAAAAGAAAAGAAGTTAGAGCTTGCCATTGCCATTTAGTACTGACGGACCAGGTAAAATAAACATTCTACGATGTGCAGGACAATCCCACACAGTGAAGAGTTGTCCGTAAAAATGTCAGTAGAGCCCCCTTTGAGAAATACTGGGAAGTAGGTAAGGAATTAACAAAGTCTAGAGAATTTAACTCTAGGGCTTCAGCATATCCTTTAAAATCTGAGATCACAACCTCCATTTCACTCACTAAATATTTACTAAGTACTAAAAGATAAACTAAGGCACATTAAAATTTTAAAGAGTTTATTTGAGGTCAGGCACAGTGATCCCAGCACTTTGGGAGGACAAGGCAGGTGGATTGCTTGAGACCAGGAATTTAAGACTAGCCTGGGCAAATGGTGAGATCCTGCCTCTACAAAAAATACAAAAATTAACCTGGCATAGTGGTGCATGCCTGTAGTCCCAGCTACTTGGGAGGCTGAAGTGGGAGGATAGCTTGAGCCCAGGAAATCGAGGCTACAGTGAGCCATAACTGCACTACTGCCCTCCAGCCTGGGTGACACAACAAGATACTGTCTCCAAAAAACAAAAACAAGAAAATGTTTATTTGAGCAGACAATGGTTAACTCATTTATGCGGGAGGTTGCAAATTTTTTTTTGTGAAAAATCAGACCTTGGCGATGACCTTGAGCAGGATATAAATAACTCCCACAAGCTTAGCATTCCAATAATGGAGCACTAGGCATATTAATGAATTAGTCAGCTCCAGAATGCAAGCAACATGGGGCTGCACCAAAGGGACACAGTTAAAAAGCTTTTGTAGAGTAAACGGCACAAGAAAGGCTAAGAAAATCTATGATTGGTCAAAGTGGAGTAGTCTTACTTGGATCATTCCAGTAAAAGTCAGTGGTTAGAGGTTAGTTGGTTTCTGATTGGTTAAGCTACAAGTTTCATTTTCCTAGAATAAGACCATTTAGACTGAGTTGGGTGTAAGTTTGTTTATGTAGGAACCCAGGGCACTGGAGCTTCCTCAGGCAATGGCCTCCCAATTATTTTAACACAGGAAGCTGTTTTTGCTGGGCAATAAATATGTTTCCTTCTTTCCTTTGACCATGATGAAGCTTGGAACTTTGTGGCCTACCTTTAATAATTGTACAACATTCACAATATATTTTCAGTATAACTCACCCTAATCACATCTTTCTATTCAAATTTCATATTTCCACAATCTTGATTTCTCTTTATTTTTTATGTTATTATATATTATATAGTTTATAAGCTACCTCAAATACTTTTGGAACTAAGCTACAAAAGTAAAATGAAAAAACAGAAAAGAAAAAGAAAACTAGATAGTAAGATGAGAAGAAAAAAATATTACACGGAGCCCCCAGATCATCCTGAGAGGTTTAAGATACTTTTTTTTTTTTTTTTTTTGAGAGAGAGGGGGTCTATGTCACCCAGGATTGAGGGCAGTGGTGCCATCTTAGCTGACTGCAACCTCCACCTCCCAGGCTCAAGCGATCCTCCCACCTCAGCCTTTTGAGTAGCTGGGACCACATGTGTGCACCACCATGCACAGCTACTTTTTTGTATTTTTTGTAGACACAGGGTTTTGCAATGTTACCAAGGCTAGTCTCGAACTCCTCAGCTAAGGCAATTTGCCTGCCTCAGCCTCCCAAAGTGCTGAGATCACAGGCATGAACCACTGCACCCAGACCTGGTTTAGGAGACTTTCAAAAAGAAGTATAATACAGTCTTTGCCTTCAATAGTTTGTAATCAAAATTTTTTTTTATTTTTCAGAATACACATTCTTTTCAAAGTAATCAGATTTTTAAGATTCAAATTGAAAAGAACATCAGAGAATAATGGATAATAAAAAACAGTGATAAATTATACAACCACTGTTTGAAGAATTAGTATGGATTAAAATAATTAAAATTGCATGTATTACTATGTATTAAGAACTGGTAACAAACACTCAGAGCAACTTTTTGAGGTAAATTACTACGATTTTCTTTATTTTATAAATAAGGAAATTGAGACAGAGAGGGTAACTTGTCCAAGATAAGACAGCTGTTAAGTGTAGCAATTTGACCTAAGGCAGTCTGGAACCAGAGCCTGTGCCCTCCAGGAGTTAGATTTCAGTTAATCCTTGAATTATAGGAGGATATAGAAAGAAAAATAGAAGGGATGGGGGCAGTGGCAGTGAACCTTGGAACAGACTGAAATGAGGTACACCAGTAAAGAACCTGAATGGAGAGTATAGATTGAGGGATATTGAGAATCTAGGGACAGGGTGCAGGAAGTTTACAGTCTTAAAACTCAAAGGAAGCTTGGAAAGGTAGCTCTCGCCTTTAGTCCTCACTACTCAGGAGGCTGAGGCAGGAGGACTGCCTGAGCCAGGAGTCAAGGCTGTGTAGTGCCTTCTAATTGTGCCTCTAAATAGCCACTGCACTCCAGCCTGGGCAACTTACAGAGACTCCACGTCTTAAAAAACAAACCAAAAAAAGAAACCAAAAAAACCCAAAGGAGATTCCATTTAAAACAGTTGGTAACAGGAAACCATTGTAGGTTCTTGAGCTCAGAAGAGATGATAAAAAGGTTTCCTTGGAAAGATGTTACATGACAGTGATATGAAATAACCCTAGCTTCAAAGCTAAACTCCTATTACTAAGCACTCTTCCTGGATCCTATAAACCTATGTGATCAGGTAAGCACATTAGAGAAGTCTTGTCTCTGCAGTTTTCAGCAACCATTCCCTAATCAGAATTCCTTCAGGTACAGCTTATTCTCCTATTCTCCATTCCCCAACTTTCTAATTGTTTTATTATACTCAGGCTGCTTGTCCCCTGAAAACATTTGTTTTCAACAGATAATCACCAAATGATCTCTATGGCTTTTTTTTTTTTTTCTTAAGATTCCCTGATTTATATTTATGATTCAAACACAACCTCCTGGGTCCCAAACACATCTCTAGGCTTCAAAGATAATCATCAAATCAAGCCCATCTTAAGAAATCTTCTGTTAAGTTTTACTCTCCTTGTTTTTCCTAAAGGGCTGCTTTACCTTTCTCAGAAATGTATTAGGCATCAGGAACTACTGTCAACATATAGTTTGTCACAAAACATTATACATAACTTGAATGGCCCACCATGTAGCAAAATCTCAGTTAACCTTATCATAATAAAACAGGAGGTGGCAAGGGAAAAGCAGGAGACAGGGGAAATAATCTTTTAACACTCCACATTCAAATGAATGCAGTTTAGAACTACTGTTTCCACTAATTTCTTCAATTTAAAATATCAATAACAATGTTTAAACTCTGCAATCTGCAAGACTTTAATTTTAATTTCTCAATACTCTGGATTTATTTTTTGGTCAAGGTTCTGTAACATTTCCTCTGGTCACTGTTTAACCCTTCGGAAGCAATGAGAAAGGATTCTACTTGGGGTCCTAAGATGTATTTGAGTACCACACAGGGCCGATGTCCTCCCATCCTGAGAAGCATAAACTTGTTTTTGCCACCAAAGAATAGTGACCATTGTCCAATAACAAAAGTTATAAATATGATTCAAAATGAACCTGTGACAAAGACTTATTAAACTCACAATGGAGCAAGCTGAATGGCTTAGTGCGCTCAAAAGCATTTCAGGAACTGAGCATAAACACTGAAGAAAGGATAAGTTTGACAGGTTAGATAGAAAAATGGTTAATATTGGCCGGGCGCGGTGGCTTATGCCTGTAATCCCAGCACTTTGGGAGGCCGAGGCAGGCGGATGGATCACAAGATCACGAGTTCAAGACCAGCCTGTCCAATATGGTGAAACCCCGTCTCCACTAAACATACAAAAATTAGCTGGGCATGGTGGCGGGCACCTGTAGTCCCAGCTACTTAGGAGGCTGAGGCAGGAGAATTGCTTGAACTCGGGAGGCGGAGGTTGCAGCGAGCCGAGATCATGCCACCGCACTCCAGCCTGGGTGACAGAGCGAAAATCTGTCTCCAAAAAAAAGAAAAAAGAAAAATGGTTAATATCCTACAACGCAATAGAACTACAACCTTTAGGAGTACTGTATTTTTTTTTCTATCTCACTCAAATAATTTGCAACTCCATTACTCCAAAAGATGTGAACTACAAAGCCTAGGCCCTAATCAACATCATCATGCCAAACAAAATACACTCCTCTAGACATCTAAATCATCTTCAGGTGGGCCTATTAAACAGGCTCCATTTTGACTCTGAAAAAAACATGCTGTCATCCTTTTGCCTTACTTCCAATACTTTTGTAATTTTTACCACGAAAACTTTCTATAAATCAGTCAACTATTCCTTTATCATTCTCCCGCCCTCCCCGCCAATTCTTGATTTTATAGGTTTTTTGAGAGGTTTAAAAAAAAAAAAGAAAAACCTGTTGGCTCTAAATACCAAGTTATTCCTCCTGATACTTGATGAATCCGAAACTTCAAATTAAGTTGGACTCAGCCACCGGAAACCCCAGTAATTTAATACTGTTTCAACGTCACATGGCCAAAGATTTGCTATCAGTATGTGGATTTTAAACACAAGGTAGTGACTACCCACTTCGAGGGTGCTGCAGCAATTGGGTACTGGGCCAGGAGTGCTGGTGACACCGTGTGCGCGACGGGCACTGGGTCCCGGGGAGGGAGTGTCCTCGCCCTTCCCCGCTCGCCCCGAGCGCGGCGGCCAACACAGGCCCGCAGTTCACCGGCGGGGACCCGCTTCCCCGGGCTTTTGTTCAGGACTGGGCTGTGTCCCGCCTACCCGCGCGAGCCCTTCCTCCCTGTCCTAGGAGTAGGGCGAGGACCGTGTGGGAAGCAGAGCCGGGAGGCGGCGACCGGCAGGGGCTGTGGGAATACTCACCCCGCTCCGCTCGGCCCCTGACCCCGCAGCCCAGCCCGGCGAGGGCGGGGCGACGGGGCCAGGGGGAGGAGAGCTGGAGAGTGGAACCCAGAGCCCTGCGAGGCCACCGCCGCGCCAGTGCCCCTAGGGGGCTGAATGATGGGACTATGGGGGCCTCGAGGACGGAGGAAGACCCAAGCCAGCGCGCCCCGAGGCCAACCAGAAGTGGTCGTGGCCTCCTTCAGACAGAGCCACCAGCGGCCGAGTCGGAGCTTGCGCATTGCGCCTTCCCGTGCGCCGTGGGGGCCGCCTAGCGCAGGCCGGTGACGTGATCGGCCGCGCGCTCCGGGCAGGGGCGGGGCTGGGACCCAGGCCGGGACTGGGAGGGGGTGGAGAGGAGGGAAGCGAGACTTCCCTGCTGCCCGCTTCCACTGCCGCCAAGGCCCCGCCCCTCGCTTCGCGGGCAGCTCTCGTCCCCCCCCACCCCCACCTCCAACCCAGCGCAGGCGGTGCCCTCCGCGGAGCACAAAGGCGGCTCGTTGAGTGGGGAGCGGGTTACTAGCAGCCCCCTAAGAGGTTGGAGAGCCGTGCCAGCATTCACACACTACAAAAAGTCCTGTAAACACCACAATTAAGCACAAGCATGGCTACCCCTTGAAAACTTACGGATGGAGGGAGAAGTTAGGAATTCGAATATTGACAATAGTACCATCTGTGGCGCATATCCCAGAGGAGAAAAAAAAAAATAAAACTAGCAGCAAAATTAAATTGGGGCGAAACGGTGGGGATAAAGACTAGAAAAATGTAAGAGTAACAGGGGTAATCGAACTGAAATAGCAGACATCTGAAAGAAAACTAGCATCTGCTCCTTCTAACAACAGAGTTAAATGTGTTGGAAATGAAAGGAGAAAATGCAGGCGAAGAAGTGAAAGGAAAACCTGCCTTCAAACTACATGACATGGTTTTGATCTTGTACTACAGTTGTATAAGATGTCATCATTGGAGGAAACTAGGTGATAGGTACACGGGACTCTAGGTGCTGTAGTATTTTTGCAGTTTCCTGTGTCTATAATTATTTCCAAATAACAAGTTTTCCTTTTAGACAGAATACTGATTAGTGGCGACCAGGGTGAAGGGCTGGAGGAAGGGGTTGACTAGAAAGGTGCTTGAGAGCTTCTATACCGTGATTGTGTTGGTGACTAAACCACTGTTTGACGAAACCCGTAAGAGGTATTTATGTATTACTTTATGTAAAATAGTTTAAAACTCAAAATGGTGCGACTAATAAAAATGAACTTACACTAACTTTTTTTAGCAACTATGGCTATAAATTAATTGGTAGCTGCCAATTTAGATTATCCATTTAATTTTTTTAAAAGCACAAGGCAGCGTGTTCTCAATGAGAGCTTAAGTAGACCAGGTATCTCCAGCAACTTTAAGTATTTACCTTAAAAACGTATTTCACAGATGAAAACAAGAATGTGGCTGGGCGCAGTGGCGCACGCCTGTAATCCCAGCACTTTGGGAGGCCGAGGTAGGAGACTCTCTTGAGCCCAGGAGTTCGAGACCAGCCTGGGCAACACAGTGAGACCTCATCTCTACAAAAATGTTTCAAAATAAGAATACATTTTTTAAAAAAAGAATGCACTGCTTTACATCGTACTCAATATTTTAGAAACGCAGCGCACCAACCACCATGTTAATTAAAAAAATTTTTTTTTGCACTGGAGGTGTTTTAAAGTTTCATAATTCACATACCAAAAACAAAGAAACTAAAAGAAATAACTCAGTTAACCCCCATGTACTTCCTGTCATCATATCCCTCATGGCAAAGAATGATATTGGCCTGTTTATGTGTTTACCGTACCAACACTATAAAGTGCTTTAAGGCTACGGTCTGTCATCACAGCATTTCAAGGTTCGAGCAGGGCTCCTATAGCTCTCCTCTCTGATCACTGAAGTTCACTGAAAAATCTACTCACAAAGGGCAGAGTAATTGGAGGAAAGGCAAGCAAGTTTATTTAGCACATATACATGAGAACCTTCAGAATGAAGACCCAAAGATACAGGGAAAATTGTAATGTCCATTTGTACGTCCAACAAAGTATGGACAGCCATGTACAAATATGATTGGACAAAAGGGTATGCTCTAATGCTAATAGCCTGAGTGGGGAAACCCAGCAAGGCCTGTCTGTCTAGATTCTTCTTGGCCTCTCTGAGCATGCACTCCTACCTTCCAGGTGTGGGGCGGGACCCTCTCTGCAATGACGGTCTTAGGACCTACAGTCAAAAAAGGTAGATCAGATAATTTCTTTATGGCCAGTTTTTACAAAAAAAAGGTGGGGGGAAAATTAAAGTAATATTTCCAGGATTTATGACTGGCTTTGGGGAAAAGAGGTTCTAGTTTCTATAGCCCGCCTAGTTTCTATAGCTAGCCTCAGGGGAGAATGGGACCAAGAGACAGGAAGGCAGGAGAAGGTCAGAGAAAAACTTTTGCTTCTGAGAGTTTCATTGTGGGGTATTATTTTCTAGTCCCGATAGTCCTAACTAGTAGTAAGTATTCTTGGAATAAAACAAGGAATTGATCACAGAAAGAGAGTTAAAACTTATTGAACACCTATTATAGTCCAGAAGCTGTATATGTACATAGTTAATCTCATAACTTCTTGACATACCCATTTTATAATATCTTAATTATTAAATCCTTTTAATACTTATTTTATTAGATTTCTCTGTTTCATTTGGACATGTCGCTCACTTCTAAAAAGTCTTGCTTCCTTTCGCTTATGTAAAACCCCCAGTCCCCTGATTCTCCTTCCAGCTCTGTGGCCTTTTTTTTTTTTTTTTTTTTTTTTTAAAGACAAAGTCTCCCGCTCTTTCACCAATGCCCTGGTCATAACTTACTGTAACCTGGAATTCCTGGCCTCAAGCAGTTTTCCCGCCTCAGCCTCCCAAAGCGCTGTGATTACAGATGTGGCCGTTCTTTTTTCTCATTGTTTTAGGCTTTTGTTTGTCCATTATGCTTTAATGCTCATGTTTCACACAGAGCCTTCTAAAAGTTGAAACTTCAACTTTTTTGTTTTTTTGTTTTAGTTTTCTGATACTCATGTAAATTTTTTTAATTCAAAATAGGGTTATACAAACTGCATTACATTCAAAGTCATTTTCCTTTAACCAATAAACACTTTTATTATCAAAAATTACAATGCAGTATAAATGTGTCTTTCAAGATGTAATTACAGGATTTATTTAAAAATAATAATTCATAATATCCTTTCGAGTGTATGGTCCTATAAAGGGTCACAACTTTTTAAGTTCCATGGTAAATGTCTTATTTACTCAATCTTGCCAGTTCTTATTACTTGCATGCATATATCCTTTCTGCTCATATCCCATAGGTCACACCTATATTCAAGGAAGGAAGAAAATGTAGCGTCTAGCCATGGGCTCAGTCAAACCTTGACAGGGTGGGATTGTTTTATTATTAAAAGAAAAAAGAGAAGAATAGATACTAGGGAACAAAAGCTATCTCTACTGCAGCTTATAGTAGGCAGATTTCTCTTCCACCACCCTCCAGGAGGTCCTTAGGAAAAGACAAATTATATAAAAGAGTTAGAGGAGGTAATCTGATTGGATGGTAGAGATAAACTTGTCTTGAAGCTGTGTGTGCATAGCACTTACTTAAAAGTGTGAGAGAAAAAACACTAGTAGGCAAAACTATAGAGACAGTAAAAGATCAGTGGTTGCAAGAGTTTGGGAGAAGGGAGGCAAAGAGGGAAGAGATGAATACGTGGAGAATAAGGCATTTTTTTAGGACAGTGAAACTATGATATATGTTACTGAAATAGTGGATATGTGACATCATGCATTTGTCAGAACTCATATTGCAAAGACAACGAACAAGGCTAGAATCTGATAACCCAGAAGGATATGCTATTGACATGCAGTTTTTCTACATCCCCAAAAGTAAAAGAACATAGGGCCCTCTCAACCAATTTCAATGGGAGTAAAAAAAGCACCTGGATAATAATAGACCACTGCCAGAATGATCCTTGTAGAACATTGGGTTCCCCTGATAAATCTAAAATACAATGTATAGTTCCCAACTATCTTCAAATGCTTGAAAGATTAAAAAGTCCAACCACGAATGTTAAAAATGTAGACAAAGCAGGCCAGGCGTGGTGGCGCATGCCTGTAATCCCAGCACTTTTGGAGGCCCAGGCAGGCGGATCACTTGAGACCAGGAGTTCGAGACCAGCATGGCAAGTATGGTGAAACCCTGTCTCTACTAAAAATACAAAATTATTCAGGTGTGGTGGTGGTGCATGCCTATAATCCTAGCTACTTGGGAGACTGAGACATGAGAATCACTTAAACCTGGGGGTGGGGGCAGAGAGTGGGGTAGGAGTGGGAGCGGAGGTTGCAGTGAGCCAAAATGGCACCACTGCACTCCAGCCTGGGCAACAGAGCAAGACTCAGTCTCAAAAAAAAAAGGGGGGGAGACAAAAGAAATACCGAAATTCACTACATAAAATATTTCAACTTATTCTGACTCTTACTTAGATTGCTCAAATTGGATCATTTCCAGAAATGTGTTCTAACCTTCATAGTACAAACTAGACTCTGAAGAATAAGATACTAAAAACTCAAGCACAGGTAGAAGCTATAATCCCATTACTATCCTTTTTTTTTTTTTTTTTTTGAGACAGAGTCTGTCTCTGTCGCCCAGGCTGGGGTGCAGTGGCGTGATATCAGCTCACTGCAACCTTCTTCACCTCCTGGGTTCAAGTAATTCTCTGGCCTCAGTGTCCTCAGTAGCTGGGATTACAGGCGTGAGCTACCGCGCTCAGCCTAATTTTTGTATTTTTAGTAGAGACAGGATTTCACCATGTCAGTCAGGCTGGTCTTGAACTCCTGACCTCATGATCTGCCCACCTTGGCCTCCCAAAGTACTGGGATTACAGGCATGAGCCACTGCGTCGGCCTCATTGTCATGCATTCTTAGCTATAGCACATCACTGCTGCAATCTACATTACCTTTATCCTTTGCTAACATCAAAACCTTTACAAATAATTTTGAGTAACCTTGGGACTTTTTTTAAATGTTTCTTTATTTTATTTTATTTATTTATTTTTTTTTTTGGTATGGAATCTCATTCTGTCACCC